AGTGGCATTGTGTTTCGGCATTCATATCTGTGTACCGTTGACGCTTATAAGCCTTGCCTATACGATGCCTAATAAAACTTTGGCTGCTATATTCTATTTGTGAATTATGATGTTACAATTTAGACAATATCCTGGTTTTCCAGGACAAGTTTCGCACACGTATGTTGTATCCGTCCGTTTTTTTTTCTTTGGAACAGCTTTGACATATTTTCCTGTCGAGTTGTTTTTTACCTGGAGTCGATTCCCTTTTTATTAGCCTATGATCGATATTGGATGATTTTTTATTTAAATTCTCATAAGGAGGTGAAAGTTTATTTATGATTGCCATTCCAAAATCAAATGATGACATTTTCTGTCCAGAATATATATTATAAAGTGAAAAGCATTATTGTGCATCATGTCCATAATATGGAAAAAAAGTTTGTTTGGCCATCTTATTGTTTTTCTTTCGTGAAGGTAGTATGAAAGCATTTGATCAAGGTGATCTACACCTGACATATGTTTATTGTATTCGGTGACAGGCAATGGTTTAGTAACTTTTTGTTTTCTTTTATTTTCTACTTCAACCATTGTATTTACATATTTATTTGAAATATATAAAACATCCCTCTTATCTTTCCACCTACCATTACTCCTTTAGCATATTTCGCAATGGTTTCTTTTTTTTCAGCATAGTTAAAATAACAGCTTTGGGTGTCATTTTTCTATGAGACCGAAGTGTGCCGGTGCAGTGAGTCTGATTCTTAATTAGAGTTCTGGCTATAGTTTATTTTTATGAACGAGAGAGTAATTAGCATAATTTTAACTGGTATCTCCGACTACTCCATGGGTGTGCTCAAGATTAATTGAAAAATTACTTTGAATAATTGTAAAAAATAAATGAATTATTTCAGTGTTATAAAGTGTTATGTGTATTTAAACAAAAGTGACCTCTTTTATCACACACTATATTAGAACTGACTGGCCTACATTAAAAAGGGTTTTAAAAAATTCACATTTTTTTTTTAATTTTTAAAAATTACAAAAGAGAAAAAGAGTTTTTAAAACCGTCTAAGGTATGTTAAATAGATGAATAAAAATATTAATGTAAAACTTACAGCTACTTGTTACAAATCCAAATCAGATTCAGAAGATGAACTTTCAGAACCAAGATTTATAATAACTGGCTCGATAATTTTATCAGTAATATTGTACAGCTTCCACATTTTTTCCTCTTCTTTAATAGTGTGATTTACTGCCTTTTCCCAGTTTTCAGGTTTTACATTATTTACGGCCTCCAAAAACAACTGTTTAACATCATGAATTTTAAAAGTGGTATTTTTCTTGAAACTTCACTCTTTATCTGTGCCCATACCAGTTCAATCGGGTTTAATTCACGATATGGTGGGGATCTAAGTACTGTCATTCCACGATTTTTGTCAATTTCATCAATTTCGTATTTTTTAAATTTTTCTTTATGAAGGGCACACAACGAATAAAGTTCCTTTCTTATAGATCCGGGATGGTACGTAATATTTTTTGAACTCAGCCAATTCTGCAAGTCTTTTTTTAACCACTTGGTTGTGGGCAGTCCTTCTATAAGTCTGGAGTGATAACTTGCATTATCCATTACTATTACACAGTTCTTAGGAAGAAGATCTATCATTTGTTCGAACCATTCTTGAAAGACATCAGCGTTCATGTCTTCATGGTAGTCACCGGTACGAGTTGATTCAAAAGTTAATAAACCACCTTCAACAAAACCGTCTGAACTGCCAATGTGTACTATTATCAGCCTGCGTCCCTTTCCTGATGGTGGGTTTAAACCAGTAGATAAGTTATTTACAAAAGCGTGCCTTTGACTTGTAACAGTTTCATCCTGCCAAAATTTATTTGGTGTATGACCCTCGTTGATCCATGTTTCATCAAGATAAAATATTTTTCTTTTTTGGTTTCTCATTTCCTTTATGGTTCTTAGAAAATGTCTTCTCCATATGATAATATCGCTTCTTTCTAATAAAATAGACTTTCTGGGATTCTTTTTCCAGCGGAAGCCTATTTCTTTTAAAAGTTTCCATAACGTACTTCGACTCATTTCTGGGTAATCCTTATCATCTCGAACTGAGACAAGAACTTTATCCAATGTTGGAAATTCTTGTCTAAAGAAGAATTCATGCACTTTCCGTCGAAGTCCTTCTTTAAAATGATATTCTATTTGAAATTTTGGTTTCCCTGGAGCATTACGTGGCATTTGAAAACTACCACATTTCTCTTCTTTAATAACTCTGTAAATCGTAGATTTCCCAACACCAAGTGTACTGCTAACTAACTCAACGGTCTCATCAACACTTTCACATAAACGTTTGTCTGTAAATGATTTAAAACAATTAAATATTAATGTTTTTTCATTAACTGTTAAAGGACCAATTTTTCGGCGTTTACACGGCACTTCCAAATTTTCCATAACACTAGTATACACAATAAACTGCACCTTGCAACTGAAGTACCTACTTTTAGTGAACTGTTAAGAATTTTGAATACGCCACTTGGACCTTCCTACAAAATGGAAAAACCCATTATCACATTTTCTGTGGAATAAGTTTAGAAGGTAATTATCTAGTCAATTACTGTCGTAGATTCCTGGAATTAAAGAATTAAATGTTTGATTGTTGAAACCCTTACTTCGTGGGATGCACTCATTTCAGATAAAATAAAACGTTTTATTTTATCTAAAGAATTAAACTTTATTTTGCAAATAGGTAGGTACTTATTAAACTTTTATTGGTTATATATAACCAATAAAATAAACATCTTACATTCCTTGCAAATTCATTAGTACCTGTTAACCTTCATCACTCCGACACTGGCAACCTTATTTAGGGATTAGTAACCCTCACAACTATTGTATTCTATTCTGCTCCAACCTTTATACCTGGTGGTCATACTCAATTTAAAATTGTTTTCCTATATACTTCTGTAAACTTGTTGACAAATATCTGTTTTTCATTTAGTCACCCGTATCAACAGTTTAGGGATTTGCATACATAATTTATTGTTTTATTACTCTCTCATACATAAAAATACACTATAAAGAAAAACTGTTGTAATAGTTGTCCATATAAATATGATGGCCGACATTTAATAATCCATCCATTAAATGTAACACAACTTTTTCAGAATGTCCTTACCGCCAGTATCGTCTAACATACCAGTATATACAGCAAATTTCTGAGCAATACCTCTAGGATGTTACAACTTAATCCCATATTTGTGTTTGTTGTTTTTAATGTATTGCTTGAACTTAAGCCTGCCACGAAAAAGAACCATAGATTCATCTAAAGATAAAACATTTCTGCCATTTTTCGTTAAAGAAATTTATTATCGGTCTTATTTTGTAAAGCCTATCTTCAGGTTTAGATTCACCTGGTGGGGGATTTCTGGTGAAATCAAGTGCTCTCAGTATCAGCAAAAACCTGTTTCTACTCCTACTAGAAAAAATTCTGGCGTTATTGAATAAAAAGTCTCCATACGTAAAAATATTCCAAAAAATATGAATAATTCTTCCTTCGTCACATTTTTCCATGAACAAATTCTAGATTTTTCTTGTGTCTGCACCGATAAAAAAATATTTTCCGCGTTAATATTTGTTTCATCAACTATAAATTCTAAAATATCAGTATACTACAAAAAAAAAACATAGTGGAGTGTTTTTTGGTAGAACTGTATTGAATAACTGATTTTTTAGAAACGGAGAATCTTTCATCTCACCTCATACAGCTTAACAGATGTCGGAACATTCATCTACATTTTCTTCAGCCGCAGGTTGTTGCGAATCAGTCATTACTTTTCCGACTTCCTTCTCACTCTCCTAGTCCGTTCCTGTCCACCCGCGATCAAATTCCTCCTCCAATTCAAAATCACTAAACTCATCACTATTTTCCAACATTTTTAACAACGGACAGCAGGAGTGTGACGTCACGACTGTCACATTGTCATTATTACTTTCCAAACAAAAGTTGAAATGTCCAATCTCAAGACTTTAATTTAACATTTTGCTTCCTCTGCTGCTTTTTCTTGTAGGTATAGTGTTTTTTACGATAATACCATCATAATTCAGAGTTCTATTTCTATGGAATATAGTTTAAAAGTTTAAATTAAAGAATTTCTAACCTTACTTTATTGATACATGTATTTTATTGCTATTAGCATAAAACATGTGCTTTATTATTTACACAACCTTGTAAAATTGTTGTAGTAAATATTAGAATACTTAAATGTTGCAATAAGCGGAAAGATTCTACAAAAAAATGAAAAATAACGAAAAATACAAATTATCCACACTAAACAAGGTTTGTTTGGAAAGTGAAACTGACAGATGTCAATTAAATCTACGTCACCACTCCTGTGGTCCATTGTGCTTCAGTGTACTTATGATAACGACTCCTTTTAGGTCTGGAAGAACCAGCCTCAACGTAGTCATTTTGCGTGATAATAAAACAATAAAAATATTTGAAAAACTTAAACCACGTGTATTTATGAACATTAAATATCCTTCATTGAGTGCTTACTAAGAAAGATGCAACACAACTGCGGTTCCGACTAATAATCGTAAATAAATATATAAATACGTACCGAACGCCGAAAGCCACGGAGACACCCGAGCAATATAAACAATGACTCTTATAAGCGTCAAACGCATCCAACCTGTTAACAACGAATATGTAACTACAATTTGTTTTAAGTATTAGATGTATGTACTACAATACTTATTCGATTTCTAATAACATTTTGTCAAAATGGCGAATATTCGGCATGCTATTTTGTTTTTAACCGGCTCAATGTATACAGAATATTCAACCCGCTCAGTATAGTCCTGTTTAGTGCCTTACAAAAAGACAATATCGGCATTACAATTAATCGGTAATTGAAAATTGTTCAGTGTGTGTTAAAAAGGTTTTATGTTTATAATAAATTCTACCCATCAAAGCAATGACACATATTTTATAAATCTTATATTGCAGGAAAACGAGCAGCAACGAGTACTCGGCTTGAAGGCATTCTTAAAGAACAACAAATATGGAAATGTCTTTGAATTATCTTACTCGGGTGGCGTCGAGAAGTGGTATTGTAATATATGCGAGTGTCCCGTCATGGGACGTATTTTCCAACATGAGACGGGTCGAAGACACATGCAAAATTTGGTTTCGAACTCTAATAACGCCGAAAATGAGAATAAAACTCCCGTTGTCGAAGAACGGGAGACCGTGGAGGTAGCACCAGGAGAACCTTTGCCTCCAGGTTTTGATGAAACTGATAGGATAGCACAAATTCAGGTAATTTTAATTTAATAATCGCTCCTTCTTACAAAATTTTTTAATTAAACTTGGTATTAAGACTATTTTTGTTGTTTGATCAAAGTTTATATCGAGCATTTAGCAAAATCGAAGGAACATTTAAATATTGTGTTTTTCTAATAAGTTATAATTTTGTAATAAGTGTTGTGGAGGTACATATATGGACCACTGGGCGTTCCCAGAAAAAAGGGTTTCCCAGGAAAAACATTTTTAAAGAGTTCGGCAGGAAGATTGTCCAAATCAGGGGCTTTGTTATTTTTAGTTTTGAAATGGCTTCTCTAATTTCTTCTTCCGTGGGGTTCGGCTCTTGAGCGTTTTCATCCATTTCAGGCAACGTAATTTCTATTTTGTTTTTCTTCACGACTGTTACTAAGCAGTTCTTTAAAATGATTCGCCCACCTGTTTAGTATCTGTTCTATCTGTTCTTTGTCACTAATTATGGAACCATCTCTGTCTTTACATGCTGTTATTCAGGGTTTGAATTCTTTTCTGTAGCTGTTTATTTTGTGGTAGAATTTTCGCGATCTTTTCTATTGTGGTGGTTAACAATCTCATTTAGAGCATTTTCGTATGGCTCTTTATTTTTCCTTCTTCTTCTTCTTAAGGTGTCGTGCATTTCTTCGTAGGCGTCCACCGTACATCGTCTTGCCAGGTGAGATGTTAAATATTCTGGATTAAATAATTCTGTTTTTAGCAGCATTGCGAAGCATTTCATAGCTGTGGATTCCTGTCCATTGTCGAATATTGCGCAGCCATGATATTTTTTTACGTCCGAGACCTCTCCTACCCTCTATCTTCCCTTCGAGTATCAGTTGCTGAAAAGTGTATCGTTCTCCTCGTATAATGTGCCCCAAGTATGCAGTCTTCTTACTTTTTACATAATTAAAAAGTTCCCTATCCTGTAAGCCCGCTCTTCTGAGTACTTCCTCATTTCTGACCCTGTCCGTCCATGATATTCTGAGCATTCGACGCAGGCACCACATTTCAAACACTTCAGGTTTGTTAATGGAACTGGCCTTTAACGTCCATGCTTCCATTCCGTACAGGAGAACAGGCCACACGTAACACTTAAGCATCTTGTATCGGAGGTTGAAGTCCAATTTGCGATCAGTCAGAAACTTACGAAGCCTCAAAAAAGCATTTCTGGCTTGTTCAACTCTGCTCTTTATTTCATTCTCGGGGTCCCAACCCTCGTTCAGCAAACATCCCAAGTATTTGAATTGCCTGACTTGTTCGATTTCTTCTCCAGAGACATATATCTTTGCGTTGGGGTAATCATTTCTACTTATAATAATTGATTTTGTCTTCTTGATATTTATTTTCAAACCCCGAGCTTCACTTGCAAGAGTTAGATCATTTAAAAGGCATTGAAGATCTTCGATGTTATCTGCCACTATGGCTGTATCATCGGCATACCTGATGTTATTAATAAATATGCCGTTAACTTTAATACCCTTATTAGAGTCTTTTACTGCTTCTGCTAAGGCTTTTTCTACGTATAAATTGAACAGCATTGGGGACAGTATACAACCTTGCCTTACTTCTTTTTTAATGGAGAAATCTGTTTCGTTGGAATTTTGAAGACGTACTGTTGCTGTCTGATTCCAATACAGATTGGCGATGATTCTTATATCCTTTGCATCCAATCCCAACTCTTGTAGGTATTTTATCATCAATTCATGTTTTACATTATCGAATGCTTTCTCGTAATCGATGAAACAGATAAAAACATCCTTTCTTTGATCTAAACAATTCTGTATCAATGTTTGCATACTAAAGATCGCTTCTCTCGTGCCAAGTCCATTTTTGAAACCAAACTGACTCCATCCACTGACCTCTTCACATTTCTTAAACAATCTAGTGTGAAGTATTCTCAGGAAAAGTTTTAAAAAGTGACTCATTAGGCTTATTAGTCGGTGGTCCTTGCAGAAGTTCGCACGTGGTGTTTTTGGTAGGGCGATAAATGTAGATCGAAGCCGTAGTTTTTTCCTTCTAAACGTCCTTTTTTCTTCTCGTCTAAGATTTTCATAGTCCTCCAGGTTTGATCTCGTTCTGCGCTGTTAAATTCTCTTATGTGCTTCATTTTTCTGTTAGTTAAACCAATTTTCGTTTATTTTAGATTGGTTAGGTTTTAAAAAGCCTTTAGCCGCTGTATGGATAGTTCCCTTGCATTTGGTCCAGTGTTCTTCTATAGGTAAATTTTCGTCGATTCTTGTCAGCTCTTCATTTAAAATTTTCCTGTAGTTATCCCTAACTTATTCACATTTTAGCACATCAGTATTATTTTGCGTAGATTTTGTGCTCTGGTCCTTCTTAGCGTTCGATATACGAGCCCTGAGTTTTGTTCTTACAAGGTAGTGGTCAGAATCTATATTAGCACCTTTACATGCTCTTACATCTAGTACATCCGAGAAATGTCAACTATCAACTAATACATGGTCAATTTGGTTTTTTGTTTGACCGTCTGGTGATTGCCATGTGGCTATGTGGATATTTTTGTGAGGAAAACATGTACTTACTACCACCATTTCCAATGATGCTGCGAGTTCAATCAGGCGTAAACCATTTTGGTTGCTGACAGCATGAAGACTATGCTCGCCGATCGAGGGCCGGTAAATAGTCTCATGGCTGACTTTAGCGTTAAAATCACCAATAATAATTTTTACGTCGTTGTTCTGACATTGTCTGTAAGTGCTTTCCAGTTTCTTGTAAAATATATTATATTTATTATGACAGACAAATAATAAAATAATTAAACGAACAACAAACAATTGATTACATATGTTAATTTATAAATTGTAATAAATATTAAGGTCTAAGTTTTGATATTATTTTGAATTCCTGCATTTTATAAGAGTATATAAATGATAATTTTTACATAAATAGGCTTGTTATTATTTTTATCATTATTAAGGAATAAAATAAACGTCCGTAGTCCTGATATATTTCTAATCAAATCAAATTATGAAATATATTCTTTATTTAATATTTCGGCTTACGAATTTGAAGACGATTTCGAGATATATTAGTTTTTATTATATAATTTTTTTAATGTGTGATTTATATGATACCTAATATAATAATTATTGTAACAAATTGGTCACAATACTCCAGTCTAGATTTTTCTTTATGTTTTTTCATGCTGTTTCATATACATATTTTATATTATTTCCCAAGTAATACAAGGTTTATGCAATATATTGTTTAATATTTTAGGAACGCATTGATGGATTTAAAGTGGGACCGCTAGTAGCACTAGAATATCTCTTCGAACTACAGGATGATGACCCCAGTAAAGAGCCGTTGTATTTGTGCCTATTGTGCGATAAAAGAGGAGACCCAAGAACTATCTTGATTCATTTGTCCAGCTATAATCATATTTCGCAGGTAAAATATTGTGTAAATTCTATATCTTTTTTAACTAGGATAAATCTTGTTCTGAAGCTATTTTCTTGTGGCATTTTAAATTAATTACTATTTAACTGGGAATAAGCCACAATTAAAGATAAAAATACGTTTATTGACGTTTCAATTTCCACTTCGGAAATCGTTCTCAAAATACAAACAGTAAATTTACTGTTTGTAAAGTAAGTATTGAACAACGTCGGTGACAAAATACAGCCCTGACTAAATTTTTAATTAAGCGAAAATCTTTGTCATCAATTCTAGATTCTTTCAGTCTCTGAAATAATTTTTAATATTGCACCTTGTTAAATGCTTTTTCAAAGTTTATAAAGCATGCGTAGACTTCTCAATTTATGTCTCGAGCTCATTGTATCAATACTTGTATGGAAAATAAGTCTAAAGTAAATGTTCAAAATTATAAAATGTAGTTTTCATTATAATCAATTGTGGCTGAATCCCATAATAACAAATATTTAACAAGGAAATGTTATTTTAATTTGCTTATATATGATACGATTCTGTTGCAGTATTTGCAAAAACATTTTCCGACCAGTTGGCGGCTCCTTGCTCCTTACAATACCAAACAATACAAACGAAATTGGCAAAATGCCTTACATAAAGTCTCGGAAGGTATAGAGAAAAAATTTGGACGCCTCAAGCCTTTTCCCATCGAGAAAGATAAATTTGACAAAGATAGAATGCATTATCTCCAGCTCGTTGTCAAAGGACCTCATTTTTCTGAACGTAGTGGCTATACATTTGAAGAATTGATCGTACATGATGAGCTAATCAAAGTTTACGAAGGTAAGTAGTAATTGTTGGTCGAATAACTAAAAAAATCATTATTATATCATCATCATTGGCGTAACTAGCCTCAATTTTCAAGGATGGCCTGGGCCCCAGTGTACAGTGAATTAAATTTTTTTTATTTGCTGTGCAATGAAAAAATAAATAGAAAAAATGCATTGTAACACTGCAATAAATATTTACAAAAACATAAAATATTACTTACAAGAGAAACATCCTATTCTGTTCACTAAAGAATTTACAACACTCTCAAAGTCTATGTCTATATCTTTTTCTATATACAACAAAGACAAATCGGAATGTATATCTTGAGTAGTCATGTGTAACACGTAACACTGTATGGTATGACACTTTTGTGCTGATATTTTACGGTGCGTCATGTATTGACACAGCGACAATAAAGTGTCACAGGAACACCGTCGTAACATACCGAGCAATGCATTTCACTGCAAAAGTGAATACAAGATACGACAAAAAGAGACAGTGTGTTCATTTGCTTTGTGTCCTTTAAAAGGTTTAGTTTTTGAAATTCTAATCGCTTATAGATTACTATTTATAAATAAAAAGTTTTTAATCAAAAGTACTACACTCAAATATCAACAGCACCCTCATTTGCTAGTATTTCCATGTTTTCTCTATTAACTACAATGTTATGTAAAACTGAACAACCTGTTAAATATTCTTTGAACAAAAGGTAACTTGCATCTCATTCCACATGTTAAAATGGTAAATCTCTTTAAAATACCAGAAGCTCTGTCATTCACAATTCTTGACGCAATTTGTGATAGATTATACAGCACTTAGAACTGCTGTCTGAAGATTCTACAATGGTAGTTAAACTGTATATCCACTATTTCTTAATAATCCATTGTCCATAAATTCCCATTTTATATACCCATAATGTGCAACTCCTAAAATAGCTAATTCTAATAATAGCACTTCCATATTGTACGACGAGTATTGTGGGTTATGGTATGGTACCTATTCTTTAAATGAGAAAATAATTAAATTCAACGTTTTAGTCTTTTCAATGATCTTATTTTAATTTTATCATAGGATCCTATAATAGGTAACAAATAGAATTTATAGTGTAGATTATTTTTATACACACAAAAATATTTAATGTTATTCGTCAAAATAGCTGTAGGTAAGAAGAATATTGTTAAGCTTGTAGATCGAAATGGAAAAGTGGTAACAGATAAAGATAAGATAATTAAGGTAGTTGAACAGAATTATATAGAGAAAGGGGTAAGAAAGACGGCACCAAGTTGGAAAAGTCCAGAATATGGGTTCAGAGGATATCCCAAAAATGACAATCAAAGAAGTTTCAAAGTCAATAAATCAAATGAAAAACAATAAAGCAGCTGGTGATGACCAAATCGGTATTAAGGCAGTTACAGCAGGAGGAAAGACAGTATTGAAAGCGTTGACACAATTATATAACTTAATGCCTTTCAAAAGAGGTTACACCATCTCATGGAATAAAGCTGTTATAGTAATCATGCACAAAAAGGGAGATATAACAGAACTAAAGAACTATAGACCTATTAGCTTGTTATTTCACATTTATAAGTTGTTTATGAAGATAATAACTAATAGGTTGACATCAAAACTAGACTTCTATCAACCTTGTGAGCAAGCAGGATTTAGAGCTGAATACGGAACAAATGATCATTTGCAAACCATTAAGTCGTTGATTGAAAAAAACATTGAATATAATGACCCCTGATACTTGTCTTTGTCAACTTTGAAAAAGCATTTGATACAGTCAATCAACGTGAAATGCTTCAAGCTCTAACACAATGTAGAATAGATCACCGGTACATACCCCTCATCAGATACATCTATCAGCATGCTACAGCCTGTGTAAGACTTAATGAAGATACTGGGACCTTTCGTATTGAAAGAGGCGTTCGGCAAGGAGACAACATGTCTCCTAAATTATTTACAACTTTCCCAGAATATACTTGTAAAACAATAGATTGGAACGAAAAGGGCATCAATGTAGATGGAAAATTTTTAAATAACCTTAAGTTTGCAGATGATATCGTTCCTATTGCAGACAGATTTGATCAGGCACAGATAATGCTCCAAGAACTCCATACTGCCACAAAAACAGTTGGTCTTAAAATAAATTTTTCAAAAACACAATTTATGATAAATGTGTAGGTCTAAGATTTCAATGTGCCTGAAAAGAAAAGTATTTAATCAGTGTATTTTGCCAGTGATGACCTACGGTGCAGAAACCCTAACACTCACAAGAGCAACAGTTAGTAAACTACAAGTTGCGGAAAGGGCAATGGAGAGAATAATGTTAGGGATTTCTCTACGTGATAAAATACCCAATGCTACTATACGCAAAAGATCAGTAGTGGCAGACGTTATTGAAAGGATAGTAACACTAGGCAGGTCATGTAGCAAGATCAGTTAATGACCGGTTGACAAAAAGAATTTTGGAATGGAGACCCCGACTACAAGCTAACAGAAATAGAGGTCGACCCCCAACGAGATGGACAGATGACATAAAAAGAGTGACTACAAATTGGATTCAGATGGCGCAAAATCGGAAGTGGAAATGCATGTGAGAGGCCTATGTTCAGCAGTGGACGTTAGAGGCTAGTTGATGATGATGATGAGTTGCATAGTTGTAAATTTATTTTATGTATTTAATACATTTATCTTTATAAATTTCAGGCGAAGATAAAAGTTATGAATCTTCCATTACCAATAATTGGGGCAGCGCATCTTTCATTGAGAAACCGTTTAAAAAACGAAGCCCATCACCTCCTGTAGTTGAGACGCCTTCTAAGAGAAGTAAGAAAAAACAAGAGCCAGCTTTTATACAAGATAAAAATACTGCTCCTTCTCAAGCTAAAAAATTAGTTTCCGGTAATTTAATAAATATACAATATTCCACAATATTACTGACATCGAGTGAGGAATAATGTAACAAAATTAGATATAATTTCAGCAATCGATCTGTAGGAAATAAAACGCTATTTGTTTTATGTCTCAATATTTCGTCACGGTTTTGTGACTTGTTCAGGAGAAAACTATAAATTAAAAATATATTTTTTTCTACTCGCTTACTAGTAAATTGTATATTACCTACTATTTGGATGCTAAGTAAATGCATCATAACAGATATTGACACGTAATGACTAGCACGTAATAAAAAAAATTACGCTTCAGTTTTATAAAAATGTGTAATATCACATAAGCCTTGTAAGTCAGTTGGTCGAGTTACCATGGAAACGAATTAACAGACGTTATTTTAACAGATTAAAAATTATTAATCTGTCAGTGTAAATATAGTGGTAATTTAATTTTTATTTTTATAAACGAAAATAATGGTAGAAAAAGTATAGTACACAACTTGCATCGGCAGCGTAGCGGCGAGCGCAGTGATTTTACAAGCATGTAATAAGCTTCTTACAACTCTCGTTATGTAATATACTATTAATATACTGTCTGAAGTTCATCAAACACTAATGTTTGTATTTTGAGAACGATTTCCGAAGTGGAAATTGATATTGATAAACCTATTTTAACCTTTAATTGTGGCTTATTCCTATTTAAATAGTAATTACTTTAAAATGCCACAAAAAAATATATTTAATTTGTTTAGTAAGTTCTTGTTGGCAGATCCATATAACCAACTCTATAAAACATAATATATTGCGATTACCATAACTCCTAAATAAATTAAAGAAAATGTCATTTAGAATTGTTAACAAAATTTAAATTTTTACTCTTCTAGTTGTAAGTATTGAAATACTCTGCTTGATGCTTGACTATTTTTAATATTTTTTATTTTTCTACCTTTTATACTTCAGTCTATAGACAGTACAAAATTGCATTCATTTTATTTTAAAAAAAATTATTTTGCCGATTGCGACCATTTTTGTTTCATCTTGTCGGTCATTTTCACGGTAAACATGGCTTCAATCTTTAGTCAATATTTTCACTTAGGTTTGTCCTAAAATAATAAATCAAAAACCAAACTGTTTAGAAAAGTATGCTCTAAGTGGTCCATAGCATTATTTAATTACAAAGTACCCTTAATGCCTTAAATTAACCTCAAAGTTTGAAAAGGTAAACTTATAAAATTCCGTTTTCAGCATTTTTTTAACAACAAGGGAAGCTTATAATGGTTTGTATTTTTTTTTTCTGGAAAAGACATACGGTCCGTCCCAAACACTTTTTTCAGTGCGTCACTAAATGTGACGTCATATAGGATTTTAAGAATGTCGAAAATTATTGCTTGACATTTTAGTTAAATCTGACAGTTGCAGGAACGTAACCGACTAAATGTGAAAAGGTTATTTTTTTAAATAGTTATGTAGTCTTTATTCTTTCTCGGTATATCTCGGCATATTTAAAATATTTTTATGACAATAAATACAAAATTAAATTTTTACTGTAAAATGTCTGATAATACTAACCTGGAATGACAATTATCATTTTATCAGTTGACATTGTGAAAGTATTGTCATGATCAAGATAATCTGCGTCAAATTATATTTATGCGCATCATTGATTGGATATCTATTTAGCGTATTCTAAACTCCAACCAATTACTTATACATCCGTAAGTAGAATTCGCTTTAATATGCAAATACTCGTGAACGATACATAATTTTCTATGTTCTATGTATAATAATCACAGACTCACGTCTTTTTCTGTCTTTTCCAGCTTTATGCGTTAGAGAGAATTCGATCAACTATGACGCACTGAAAAACGGGTTTGGGACGAACCGTACATACATTATTTAAATGAAAAAAGTTTGAGCTTTGAGACTTTGAGAAAAGTCAATTTTTTCAAAAAAAATCTCAAAAATGTAATTTTTTGAAAAATTTCAAAGTTTGAGCTCTTCTATCTCTGGTCGGCAAGCAAGTAAAAATTTGGAATTTGGCTGAATGTTAGTTCCTCATGAGTAGAATAAGGGGTAAAAATTTAAAGTTGTAGACTTAAGGCATATAGGAGTTAAAGGCCTGAGAAAATAGCAAAAGATCATTAATTTGAGCGTTTGCGGTTAAGTAATTAAAATTCAAATAAACTGTCTACTGAAAAAATTAATGTATTTTCACCAAATTTCACAATAAATACAAATATATACTACACTATAGAAATATTAACTTTCATTTAGAATTTTGACAGTTCAGAGATTGGGATATTTCATCGGATAAATCTTGAGATATGTTATGATTGCGTCCAGTTGCTGTTTTTAGTTCTGAGGGTGTGATTTTCTTCAAGATTTTATGAAAAGGCACCCAAGCTTCATCATGAGCACTTAACTTAAATGATGTTATGGGTCCAGAAGGGTCCAAAAAGTGCACATAGGATGTTCGATGCTGACAGTTCTTATTACCCCTAGCCACCACTTTCCATCATACACACAGGCTATTACATCATTTTCACGTAGGGAAATGGAGATAGCACTTGTGAAAAATTCTAAATATTTAGTTGCCTGGGATGTTTTAAAACATTTGACTTTATTTTCTGAGATTGGTACGATTCAATGAAAAGAACGCGTACCAGAAATTTTTAAACAAGTTTTAAATCTCTCTTCAAGCAGCGGCGGCTCGTGGAATAAAAAAGTGGTGAAGATGAGGAAAGCTTGTAGAAGCCAAAAGGAGTTTTGGTTTTGGGTACGTCGTGCCCAAATCTCATTAAAAATTCGTTAAAAAAATGTATAGTTATATAAAAACTAAACTAATAAATACTATACTATATAAAAAGTGACTAAATTTCAAAATATTGTCGCTGCGAATACTAAATAAGTACCCATCTAACTAGTGGCCAGTGGGTGAAGACGAATAATATATTTCTTAACGGAACTGCACTATAATATTTTTAACTATCACTAGCGACAGGCTGACGTCACGTTGCCATGGCAACCGTGAGCACTTATGCAGATGGATTTCGTATTTCAGAAATGATATTCACCTATTCCTGAATCATACACAGCAAGTTACACAGGTCAGGACTTGATCGTTAAGTATCTACTGCACCGCTAATAAAGCTAGCTGTCTTTTTAATTTTTAGATTAATTAAAAGAGAATAAATAATTGATTTCAGAATTTAGATATAATGTTGCTTTTATTTTTTATTTATTTGTCACAATTTAATTATATTTTTTTGGTGAACCTCACCTTCACCTACTTCACCTCGCCGCTGTCTTCAAGTTGTGATTCATTTTGTAGGATTTCTTTACTTTCAACATAATAATACTGAATACCTTTTAAGTTCTGTGAACACAAATCAGACATAACTTTTGCAGTTAAAATTTTATTCTTATGAGTTGATTGTAAACTGGTTTTAGTAACTTCTCTTTTTGTTGTGCCGCCGATACCATGGCATTCATTTTTCCCGTGGGCTGTTGCAAAAAAGTGCCATTTCGCCTGTAGACCAAAATCTTGCTCATTATGACAGATTTATTTTTATATTAGCTACTGGCACCATCAGTAAAATAAATTACTCTCTTAACATCTGGAGCAATAGCTTTTAAGTTTTCAATGAAATATTTCTGAAAACAGTGAACTACGGCAGTGTTATGTTGTTGGTAGTTACTTATGATGCATTGAAGATATTTTTGTTTGTGGACTGGCTTTCCTTCGATGCGCACAGACACACAGTCTTTTTTCCAGGGCAAATCCTGCTGTTTTCTTCTAAATGAATGTTAATATTTCTATAATGTATAAATTTGTATTTATTGTGAAATTTGTTGAAAATACATTAATTTTTATTTCATTAGACAGTTTATTTGAATTTTAACTACCGCAAACGCTCAAATTAATGATTTTTTGCCATTTTCTCAGGCCTATAACTACTATATGCCTTAAGTCTACAACTTTAAATTTTTACCCCTTATGCTACTCATTCGGAACTAATACTCAACCAAATTTCAAATTTTTACTTGTTTGCCCATCAGAGATATAAGGGCTCAAACTTTAAAATTTTTCAAAAAATTACATGTTTGAGATTTTTTTTCTCAAAGCTCAAACTTTTTTCATTTAAAGTATGTATGTTTTTTCCAGAAAAAAATTACAATCCATTATCAGCTTGCCTTATGTTGTTAAACAAATGCTGAAAACGGAATTTTATCAGTTTACCTCTTCAAACTTTGAGGTTAATTTAAAGCATTAAGGGTAGTTTGTAATTAAATAATGCTATGGACCATTTTTTTAGAGCATACTTTTCCAAACAGTTTGGTTTTTGATTTATTGTTTTAGGACAAACCTAAGTGAAAATATTGGCTAAAGAGTGAAGCCATGTTTACCGTGAAAATGACCGACACGATGAAACTAAAATGGTCGCCATTGGCAAAATAAATTTTTTAAAAATAAAATGAATGCAATTTTGTACTGTCTATAGACTGAAGTATAAAAGACACAAAAATAAAAAATATTAAAAATAGTCAAGCAACCAACTTAATTTATATTTTACCACTTCGTATGGATTGACCCATACATATAATAATTATTTTAATAAATTAACAGTTTTCTTCTGAAAAAGTCACAAAATCGTGACGAAATATTGAGACATAAAACAAATAGAGTTTTATTTCCTACAGACCGATTGCTGATACTATAAATCAATATTCAACAGTACGGTACAAAATTCCGATTTTTTGCTTTAATCTGTGCAGACTGCAGGTCTGCAGAGAGGTGCTTGGGAGGCACAGATTAAAGCAACAATTTAAATTTTGGTTTCGTCAATAGAAATCTTCAGATTTATACTTTCGCGATTTATTATTATATGTCGCTATAGAGTCCATACTGAAACCATTTTATTGTTGTTTCTTTTCGTCGGAAAAAAATTGATTTCACATTCAGAGCTTTTGTAGCGGTAGCTCTGATGAGTCCTGTTAGGATGAAATACGTATAAGCCAATATACAGAGGCACTATATGTGAAATCAAATCAAAACTGTCTTAAAAGTAGTTGATTATTTAATAATAATGATTTAATGACATTTATCATACCGGTTTCTCATTCAACAGATAAGGCACAAGAAAATAAGCCTGGTATAGCAGCTGCTCGCCCTGGCATTAGGAGAAGGTCCTTGTCCAGTGTATCCAGCGCTTCAGATCTAAGCGATGGTGAAAAAAACGTGCCGAATCAAAGTATCGGTCGAAATTTACCACCTGTATTAGGTGGCAGACCTCCACTAAGAGATGCACCAAGAGGTAGATCTCCGCCACGTAAGGATCCTCCATTTCCCAGGTAAAATAAAATTATTTCTTTAAAAACAGTTTAAAAAATATAGATTATACACAAGGGCGGATCAGTAAAAAAACGACTACATTTGGATGATACAGTAGTGTGCGAATTAATGTAAACATTTTGTAAATATGCGTTATTTAGGCCAAAGGTAAATTTAGGTACACTTTTTCTAAATTAGTATTTAATATGTTCTTCTTTTACTTTTATGACTTCCTGGAGTCTTCTAGGCATAAGTTTTTTGCAATTTTTTGTGATTGCTTCATCTCTAAACCACACCTAAATCACTGCTTCCACCATTTTTGTTTTTGTCGTACAGTCAATATTTTAACAGTTTAAACTTATATATTGACCACAAATTTTCAATAGGATTAAGGTCAGGTGAATTCCCGGACCAATCAAGAAGGGTAATATTATCCTTGAAGTATTTCATCATAACCTTCGATACATGTCACGGAGCTGAATCTTGTTGAAAAATTGCAGTCCCTTCGGCCTGTACTTTGTCAAGCTCTATAGCTAAGCGTTGCCCTAGCGTGGTTTTGTACTTTTCACTGTTCATCATACCTTCAATAGAAATAAGAGTGTCAGATCCTGAGTATGAAAAACAGCCCCAGAACATTTTTTTGGTGGGATGTTTAACTGTTTGGTTAATATGGCTAGCTGAAAGTGACTCATTGGCTGCCTTTCGTACAAAGTTTGATCGCTGGCCCTGCACTAGGAAGTGGTCCTCATCATAAAGTAACACTTCTCCAATCTTCTGCACTCCAATGAGCGTTTAGTCTTTTTTCATCCTAGGCGCCGTCAGAAGTTGTTTCTTCTGCGGTCTTACGGCTCTTCCTCCTCCTTCTAAGAGACGTCTGCGTATCGTTGAGTCGTGAATTTTTATTCCAGCCTTTTCTAAATCTTGCTGGAGGCCATAACTTGCTTTTCTCGGATGAAGTTTGCTATTGCGCAAAAGAAGGGCGTTCTCGAAGAGTAGCCTTTCGGTTTCTTCCACATTTTCCTTTCCGCTGCACTTCAACTGACCCTGTTTCCTTTTTTTGTTTAATTATTTTGTTTATTGCACCCAAAATTACACAACACGCCTTTGAAATGACACAACACTCTGAGTCATTGGTGTATGCTCACTAAGTATTATGATCTTTTCTCGTTTCCTAGGAGTGATATTAAAAAGTTAAAATTGCTTGCACAGTTATCAATGAAAATAACACCAACTTACACATAACCTGAGATACAACAAAAATCTTCGTCTTCTTCTTCTGGTAGCACTACAACCCGGGGTGGGTCTTGGCTGACTGCACAACCTGCTTCCATCTCGTCCGAACGGTCGTCCATGATGTTTAAGTCAGTGGGTAGCCCCATTGTTCTCAAATCTGACCATATATTATCTCTCCATCGCATTCGTGGACGTCCTAAGGGCCTTCTCCCTGTCGGGACTTCTTCCTAGATTAACTTGGTAAGGCGGTTATTAGGGAGCCTATGAACATGGTCAGCCCATCTTAGACGTTGGGATTTAATCTCTTGGACTACGTCGCTAGCACTATAAACAGTGCAGTGAACAAAAATCGTCATCTCTACTATCTTCATCAGTCAAATCAGTGGGGTCAGAAGGTGCTAGGAAAACATCTGCACTGGAAGCCGACTCCATAAGTGTTGTGTACTGTGTATGTAGTGTAGAATAAAATATATATTACTTGAAAACTACTTTCTTTTAATATTTAAATACAATACGAAAAACGATGAATCTTAACCTTAACCCTCTGCCATGCGGTTATCTTCTTCTTTTTTTTCTCTTACCATCTGTAATACAAACTTTATTACTGTTTAATGTCTTTACAAATTTATTTTTACAATGCGTTTACGTATTCTTGAAGATCTACGTAAGGTAGGTGTAACTTTGGTATCAGAAATTACATCAGTTGTTATAGATGAAGAACCTGGAGCCTCATGGTTAGATGATTCTGCACTATCATTTGTTACAGGCAATGTATTTTTATTGGAAAGTGGATTTATTTTATTTTGTCAGGTAAATTTGCATGAACATTTGTCTCTACCAACGTGTGGACAAAAATAATTCAATTGGTGTATTTTCTGGTATCTAATTCAATATCTCTAGTACATTCATAATTGTAATTCTTATTTACAGTATCTGGTTTTACAGTCTCAGTAAGTTCAATCTTAACTTCATCTCTCTACCAAATATTAAAAATGAAGGATTTTCCCTGTCACATAATGTGGGACCTTCCTATATTGTAGCAGTAATTTGAAAAGTTCATATTCTCTATTCTTTTCCTCTAAACTCATAGCTCTTAAACCTTTCTTAAATCCGTACAAAACACGTCTTTCTTTGTTCCCCTTAGTTATTGTCAGTTTTCATGTTATTTACCCGTTTCTTTCCAAGACTCTTTCTGTGACATTTGGAGTGTGTACAACGTTGTTTGGGAGACCCATTCAGTAAACGAGAAGTGCTTGAACAATTTATATTAATTTTTAATTATTTTCAGCCGAAGACTTAGCCCTAGACGAAGATCTCCGTTTAGACGTAGATCGCCATCACCTAGACGTCGCTCTCCGCTATCACCTAGACGTCGTTCTCCGCTATCGCCTAGACGTCGTTCTCCGCTATCACCTAGACGTCGTTCTCCGCTATCACCCAGGCGTCGCTCTTCGCTATCACCTAGACGTCGCTCTCCGCTATCACCCAGACGTCGCTCTCCGATGACTAAACGTAGATCTCCGTACAGAAGACTGTCGCCAAAACGTCGTTCTCAATCTCCCACTTACAGGGAAGAACAAGAAAAAGAAAAAATGAGAAAAGTTGAAGAGTTCAGAAAACTTTCAAGGGCAATTGAAAATGATATGATTAAAACTTTGAAGCAACATGAGAAAAATCCCGAAAAACATCCTCAATATAATGAAGAATGGAAGAAGTTTTGGAATCTAAGGTAAACTAAATATAAATCGCATTAATTCTTTTTAAGGTATGTAGTAAATTAAATCACGCTTTCCGGGGACAAAAATAAATTGATTGAATTAATGGACGTATAAACATAGATGGACACACAGCAATAAGATACCTTTAACACACAATGTTTTGAAGCTTCGATAGAATGTGATGCTTCCGCAATGAGCATAAGCGTGATTAAATTTTTACTCGCGGGTAATTATTCAGATTTTAATAATTGGAAGTAGTAATAATGTATAAAAACACGTTCAAAGAATTAAAAAAAAAAACGAGAGTTTAACTATTATCAAATCACGTCTTTATAGAAAAATTAAAATACAATTTTATTTGCTTTAAAATTAAAACAATTAAATGTAGTTGAATTCAAGTTAATTTTTTAATAGTATCAAAATAATGCTACAATAAAAAATCTTTATGTTTTCTCCTTAATTTGCTACCCAAATAGTTCGATCGTCAATATTATTTGGAAACCTACATAGAAAAATAAATGAGTTTTATTCATTTCACTAATTTATTTGTATCCATGAGAAATATTAAATTAAAAAAGTACTAAACAGATCTTTTTTAATCAGATGATGTCTACTTACAATTTATAAATGTCTACTAATTTCATGAACTCATATCTTATTCAATACATTAATGAACATGAATAAACCCAATGGTACGCCTATTAAAATGTAAACAAACACGCTTCCTCATTTCCTCATCTTAAATAATGTAAATTGTATGTACTTACAAATGAAATGAGAGATCGGGATGTAAATATTTCGTTTATTTTATTTCACTTTTCACAAATATCACTCAAAATACAGCCAAAATATCGAAAAATAACTTTTCCTCATCTACTGTAAAAAGTAAACAAACATGGAACAGCATTTGAAGTTTGACGTAGATCCATAAGACAGAGAAATGTAAACAACCATTGCCATTTATAAATAGTTTTCAGTGCTTCTACATATAAAACAATTGATTGATATCTATTATACGCTATTATTAAATGATAATGCACACTATGTGCATACTTGATATTTTGATTACAATTAAATATATTAATCTAACCAATAAATTATTATTTTGGTTTGATAGCACCTGTAGAGTATAAAATACGGAGTAATATTTTATTTTGTAACTTCAAAGGGCTGTAACTTTTTTTGCATACACTTTTGTATCTGGTATAAGGTTATCAGGTATCTGGTCGGTATCTTAAAATAGGAGTGGTTCAAGGTCGTATCTTAGATAAGTGCTATAGTGCAATTAAAAACAACTCAATTTATTAAATTATGATACATATTAGAAAGATCTTTGATGTCAGTTTTATTATTGATGAAATTTTTATCTTTTTTTATGTGAGTCATCTCCAATATGTATCTTTTGTTTTAATTTTGTTGTTTTTTCAAAATCTGTAATTTTCAAAATCAAATTAATGGCTATTTTCTAGAGAATGTTTGGCTAGGGCTGTTCTGTTTAATGCATTGGTTTGTACACTATCTTTGTGTGCAACAATTCTTCTATGTAGGTATTGGTATGTTTGTCCAATATATGTTGAATTGCAGTCTTTACAATTTATTTTATTAATAACATTTGATTGATGGTTTTTATTAACTTTAGGTTTAAATTTTGAAAAATATTTTCCAGGTGCTTTTGATGATTTATGTCCAACATGAATATTATACTTGGCCAAAAGTGATATGATGATTTTAACTTTAATTAACGAGTTAACCATTAAAATGTCAAGTCAAAATTCATTTTTTTTTGTCTCTGATTGATTATTGTTGAGGAGATGAGAAATCAAAATTGAGATTATGCTAGAATTGTTGTGTTTTGTAAAAATCTTTAGTAACCTAAATTTTCTTGACAGGTACAAAGAATTAAAATTGCAAGGTGTTGACGTTACCAAATACGATTTTAAACCAGAATGGATACAATTCTGGAATAAACGCATGGTAGAATTACATAGCGACGAAGTGAGAAAAAGAAAAGATGCTTTGAGAAATCGTTTGGGACTTCCTGTCATCAGTTTTAAAATCGGAGCTGGAGCAGTTAATACTGTACCCGCAGTTGCTAAACCACTTCCGATGGCAGCTCAACCCGATCAAGATGATGAAGTTATTGTTATTGAGGATAAGGAAGAGGATCTAAAAGACAAAAATTCTGTGGGACAAAGGGGTAATCATTACAAATTCTTCTTTTTAGTTATTTACATTACATTGCATCTTAACATTTTTAAGTATTTGTCGTAAAACAATTAATTACGTATGGAATATTTGTTTCTCTTCATATTTGCCTCCCATTTGTTCTTCCTTTAGAAAGGAACACATAAGATAAATTTCTCTTTTTTATTGTACACATTCATAGTTTGGTTTATATTCGTTGTAACAATATAAATGTACAAGTTGTGCCATTTTAGCTCGTATTTTGTGTTAGCCACTTAATTTAATGGGAATTAACCATAATTTTAATTAAAAAAAAACGTTTACAAACAAAAGTTTCACTTATTAGTTTTTTTTTTTCATCATTTATAAATACTATTATTCCATTGCAGGTATTATAGGTCCAAAGCTACAGAAAGCTCGTTCTCCGAGTCCAAAATCAAGAGACAGAAAAATACGAATTAGTCCTAAACGTATTATTCGTTCAAGATCCAGAAATCGTTCAATATCAAGAGATTTATCTTATGGTAGACGTATTTCACCCCCGAATTCAAGGTATGTTAGATACATTATTATTTTTTGTTCATATATTCATATTCTTAAAAAAAATACATAATGTGCATCCATATTTTGTGAAGAGTAAACATGTTATTCGTTCAAGATCTAGAAAACGTTCAATATCGAGAGATTTATCTTATGGTAGACGTTCTTCTTCCCCGAATTTAAGGTATGTTGATGCATTTTTATTTTTTTGTTAATACATTTATATTCTTAGGAAAAATACATAATGTATAATATCCATATCATGTGAAGAGTGGTCCCGAAACAAAGATTTACATAAGAGAGGTTGTAACAGTAGGTGTACTTGTAGTAACAGTAGTGTAGGAGCCCACGTGCTTCTTGATATCATCTGCCCATCTCATTTGGGGCCTTCCTCTGCTTCGTTTATATTCCCACGGTCTCCAACTTATAAGAATTTTGTTCCATCGGTCTTCTTTTTGTGTTATATTGTGTCCGGTAAATCTCCATTTTAATTTTGCAACTTCTTGTCTAGCATCCTTCACTTTTGTTTTCTCTCTTATCCACTCGTTTCTCTTATTATCCATTAGTCTTATGTGCAACATTTGTCTTTCCATTGCTCTTTGGGTTTTTATGATTTTGTCCATGTTTGCTTTTGTAGATGTCCACGTTTGGGAACCATAAGTAAGAACAGGGAGTACGCATTGATTATATACTTTGGTCTTAAGATGCTGTGGATATCTTTTGTTTTTAAGAATGTAGCTTAGTTTGCCAAATGCCGCCCATGCCAGTCTAACTCGTCTCTTGATCTCTGCTGTTTGGTTCTCTTTGTTAAGTTTTATAGTTTGACCAAGATATATGTATAATCCTTAACTTGTTCTATTTCATCTTGTCCGATTCTCATTGTGATGTCTTCATCTGTATTTGTTATAGTTTTGGTCTTGCTGTAATTCATATTAAGGCCTATCTTTCCAGCTTCTACGTTTGTTTTAGGACAAATACGGCGTCTTAGTAGGATCTTTCTGATCTGCATCCTTTTTGTTCATCTCATAAGGTTGTTCCAAGAGCTCTCTTATCATCATCATCATCTTGATGCTACAGTCCTTAGAGGGCCTCGACCTTCTCAAGCTTTCTACGCCATTCTGTTCTGTCCCTTGCTTGAATTTTCCAGTTGCCGACTCCGATCTTCTCCGCATCTTGTGTTACCCCATCCATCCACCTCAGCTTTGGTCTACCCCGTCGTCTCATTCCCACAGGTTGCGCTGTTAGAATCTTTTTTATCATGTTCGATTCAGGGGCCCGGGCTACATGTCCTGATCACTGCAGGCGGTTTCGCTTAATTATAGTGGTAATATCTTTACCACCATACGTATGCTTGTAGATATTCTGCAGTTCGAAGTTATATCTACGCCTCCATATTCCGTTCTCACAGACCGCTCCAAATATTTTGCGTAGCACCTTTCTTTCAAAAATGGATAGAGCGGATTCATCTGTTTTCGTTAGCGTCCATGCCTCTGATCCGTATGTGAGAACGGGGACTATCAGTGTTCTATACAGCCTTATACGAGTTTTTTGAGACAGACGTTTGTTAGCTAAGTACTTTGATAGACCATAATAACACCTGTTTGCAATTATTATCCGCCTTTTTATTTCCTCAGATGTATTGTTATTGGGGTTAACCGATGTCCCTAGATATATGAACTCATTGACTGCTTCGAAGTTTTGGTCATTGATGATTAAATTTGTGTTAACATTTCCAGCTCTTGTGTTTGTGTTAGTCGCCATGAATTTGGTTTTATTTTGATTTATATGTGATCCAAGAGCTCTCTGAAGAAGACAATTTCATAGTTCCTTTCACGCAGATCAGAGCTGGGTAGTATCCGGATACTTCTGTATCCGGATACAGTATCCGGATACTTTTTGTGTATCCGAAGGCTGTATCCGGATAATTTTTAAATTTTGTATCCGGTATCCGTATCCGTGACCAAATTTGAAAGTATCCGGTATCCGGATACTTTTTTTGATGTCCGGATGCTTTTAAATTTTTAATGTTCGACGATAATGGAACTACTTTACGCACCACACTGCCCTATCTTCAATCCAGGTGTACATAGTATGATCGTTGAGTGAGAAGTATGATAAATCCCATTTTCCATACTCGTGATCGTGATCGTTATAATATATTATTATAGCCAATAGAGCTTTGTTTTTACCTAATCAGTTAAAAATCTTCAAGAGCCCTGTATAATTAGAAGAATTTGAAGAACCCTGTATAATTAGAATAAAGTATTTTTTCGGATTAGAATAAAGTCATTCTTAATATTTATAATTTTGGTTTAGTGTGTCCCTATTTCCCCTAAAGTTTAAAAGTTAAAAACTCAGCTGATTCGACGCTGGCGAAATTCAATATCGAAAGCTCAAGACAGTGACACGTTTCGTTTTTACAGGAAAAATCCTGCAAATTCTTGTCTACCGAGTACAGACACGGTGATATGATAGAAAAAGTTTTTCATTATTTCAGTAGTCCATTGCTCATTTGTGTAAAAGGTGTAGTGCGTTTATATGCGTATAGTTTTTTCTATTCGGAATAACAGAATTTTCTAAAGGTAAGTTGCATTTAATTTTCGATTTAATTAGTAGATATCTAAAGTTTACTGGCGTTTTATTATTAATAGTAGTCTAATATTAGTAGATTTCTAGAAATAAAAAAAGAAAAAATGCATTAGTTATTAAATAAATAGGTATCTATCTAATATCTATCTGATGGTAAGTAAAAAAAGTTATAATTATTTGTTAGAAGACTACGTGATCACGCAGCGTTACTACGAAACCGGAGTAAATAATTCTTATTTAGCAAATGATTATGATTACTTATTGAGATACAGGGAGTCAAAATTGCAAATTTAAATTTTTTCTAGTAGCATAGGCATAGACATACTTGACGATGTTTTGTTAAGTTTTTAAATGACAGCGTGGTGTTTGAATTTGAAGAATGCATTAGTTATTAAATATATATCGGATAGTAAGTAAAAAAGTTATAATTATTTGTTAAAAAAGACTACGCGATCATTATTATTGAGCAAATGATTATGATTACTTATTGAGATACAGGGTGTCAAAATTGCAAATTTTTGCAAATTTAATTTTTTTCTATTAGCATAGGCATCATAGACATATACATGAAGATGTTTTGTAAAGTTTTTAAATGACAGCGTGGTGTTTGAATTTGAAGAAAACAAAAAACTAAATTACATTAAAACACACAGAATTTCACAATTTTTTAGTCCCGTCTAACGTCTATTTCATACAACTAAATAACTACAACAATAATGTTTATGCCGTATTTTGTTTTTTTATCATTTAATAACAAAATTTCGATGGAGTTACGTTTAAAATTTGTATACCATGTCCTTTCAGACCATTCATTTTAATTCGTGTGCCATGACAAATTGTGATATTCTTAAAATATTTTCAAACTAGCTTTGTCGAATTTCGATAGGAGAGCTCATTTCGTTTAAAAAATGATAGTATGAGGGGGTTTTAAAAAATGATAGTATGAGGGGGTAAGTTAGACAAGCTTTTTTTAATTCCAGATAGAGCAACATGAATTCAATTGATCCTGCAGTTGCATCTACCAGTTCCAATCCAGAACAAAGTGATGACACTCCAGAAGATCCATTTGCTACAAGTTCAGATGATCCCGATTATCACCTAGACCTAGAAGAAGAATTATCAGATTCCGATTCTGCCCAAAGTATACCTCGAAAATCTCAGACAAATTCTCTTATGAATTTCTTCAAACTAAAAGGAAAAAATGAACCAAACCAAGTTTGTATGATATCCGAACCTCTAACAAGACTTGTTAAAAACATGGGAGAAAAATCTGATGATCCACAAAGTTCGCAATTTGCTTGTAGTTCCTCCATACTAGATGGAAAATACTTTAAAATAAAAGAAAACGACGGCGAAAACATTACAGCTGATTGTCAACTCTGATTTCCACAGAAGAAAACCATAAAAGGGATAAAAGGTTCTTCTTCAAATTTTTTTAAACACTTAAAAAGGATTCATCCTAATAAAATTGACGAGTATAATAACTATAAAATTTCAAAGAAAGATTTGACCAGAAAAAGACTTAATGCAACTCAAGATTTCGAAAGTCGAGAACCCAAACAAGCTAAGCTTATTCAACCAAACATTTTTGGAATGGCCAAAGAGGGAAGCAAATCAGTTTTAAGCCAATCTCTGTTTGAAAAAAGAATAATAAATTTTGTTGTGAGCACAATGAGTGCAATATCTATAATAGAACACCAAAGTTTTAAGGATATCTTCCAAGGATTAAATTTGAAAATACCAACAAGAAAGACAGTAATGAAACGAATTATAGATTCGCACGATGAAAATATGCAAATTATTAAAGATAAAATTAGGGGTGTTAATTACGTATGCACTACAGCTGACATATGGTCAAATAAAAAAAGAAGCTTCTTAGGAGTTACAGTTCACTGGTTAGATGAGGACTTTATCCGCAAATCAGCTGCACTTGCCTGTAGAAGGTGAATAAATTATAATTGTATATTTTTCGATATTTCTTTGGTTAAAACGCTACGATCTACCTAATCTCAAATATTAAGTATTTAATCATTCTACGGGGTAGCCAAAATCCAAAAAGGAATGATTTTATGAAAAAAGATGAAACACTTTAATTTATACAATTATTAAACTTACAACTATTTTTAAATATACAGTATGTTCATGTTGTAAAGAATTATAGAAATAAGGCAAAGCGAAGATACATTTTTCAATCGGAAAACTTTATACATTTGTAAAGTTTCGTCAATGATCTGATTTCCGATTTCAGCAATATATTTATTTGTTAGATTTAGGACCTAGCACCTTTTTGCATGGAAGCAATAAATTAAAAATAAAGAAAATCGTTGCTTAAGTTCCTATCTTACCTTTTGAAGTACTATTCAATGCACTAATAATAGTTTATTGTCCGAAATTATTGATTTTTATCACCCTTTTTTATTTATCGCATTGACTAGTACTTACTTAAAAAGATATTTACAAGACAGCCGATTTTCTGTTTTCAACAATTATCATGTGAAAACAGGTACACAGCTAAATTGTGATTTTCAAATATCTATACCTCCTAAACCCAAATATTTAAACAAAATGCCGAAATCAGATAATGCAGGAGAATTC